GATGTCGTAAAATCCCGTATCTGCTCACTCCGCACGTCCTAATTTTATCGACGTGATGTTGCATTTTTCGAGCGCGTGTCTCCCCTGTTACTCATTCACCGGATAGATACGTCACGATTAACCAGAACTCCACGTGGTTAGATTATCAGAGTGAGTCAATTGCCTTGTCATCAGCTTGCCTCGCTCGCCCGCTCCCGGCCGGATGTTGTAAAAGACGGAGGTGCACTCGCGCGAGCGCGCCTCCCTAATAGCCTTGAAGGGGAAGCCGGTCGTACAAACAATTCAGCTCGCGTGCATTCGATCGTATTGCTTCGAAAAATGCTGCTTCTAATTACGGACCGCCTAAATTTGGAATGTAACTCTAGACGCGAAGGCACGTCGAATAGTGCGCGTGTACGCCCTTCGCGACGTTTCACCATTACCTTGTACGGTATGCTTCGTCGCACCGGTAATAACCACGTACGCCTTCGTCGAGTCGTGTCACTTGCGAAACACATCCGCGTCAAATATCGTTAACGCTCCTATTGTCATGCACGGCGCAAAACACTTGTTATAGTGCGCGCGATCCATAAGGAGCCACGACTCCGTAAAAGTCGAGTGAACTTTGGTGTTGGGCGATCCGCGTTCATCGTTAGCCGCGGAAATATTCCGTTTTGCAAGCGTGACTTTGCGAAAAATATCACGAAGGTTTCATTCTAGATCTTTTCACTTATTTTGAAATACACGACTTGTTTTCTATTTGGAGAGGGAGCGAGAGAGAGAGAGAGAGAGAGAGAGAGAGAGAATACGATGTTATACGCTATAAACGGTGTGCGTTCCAAATCGAGAGTTAACGAGTCTTCATCTATTTTTGCCTCGAAAACTACCGGACGGCCCGATATATCGGTCACAGCTGCGCGTATATATACAGGTTATTCGATCCTGAAATTTTATACCGCGCAACTCGTCCCTTATCTCTCTCGAAAATCAGAAGTCGAGACGACAGGTGACAGCGGCTAGACTATCCGCAGAGCGCCGCTGGATATATCGCCTGCGCTACCTCGGGCATCCATTTCGATTATTCGCATGGTGTTGCTCTCTCTCTCTTTTTTTCCTGTTCTCTCTTTTTTTTTTCCCTGCGAAACAGAGAGTATCTGACGGGGATTTCAAACGATCCTTTTTACCGCTCTTGACAGTGATAGTCGCGAGACACGACGTGTGCTCGTCTTGATACGCCGCGGTACTTCACTCCGCGAGTACTCGCAGCTTGCCCGTACGGGTGGAATTAAAGCGCGATCCCGACAGTTTCATTCGCCAGATCGAGAGAGAGAGAGAGAGAGAGAGAGTGATATAAGGGACTCCATGGTCGTAAAGTCGAACGAATTGGCGCGTGTGAATTAACAACGACGTGCGCCCCGGCTGAATGTAAAGTCTGAACGCGCAATGAAAGTCTCGGCTCTCTCTCTCTCTCTCTCTCTCGGAAGCGCGACAATGGTAACGTTAGGTTATACGTGACGACGACGACGACGACGACTTGGATATTTCTAATTAGATCCAGCCAAGGGTTACATCCGACGAGAGAGAAAGAGAGAGAGAGAGAGAGAGAGATATGGTCTCTCCTCGCGAAGTGTGCATGCGCCCTCTCAAGTTTAATCAAGTTCCATTTTGATGGAGAGGCAGACACTCGGGCACTCGTAACGGCGATTCTTACCGCCCGGTGTTACTAACACCTTGTTTAATTAGGCGCCGGCAAATCCGATTATCCGGCCATGTAAACGTCGTCGCGCGTTAACTCCCGTTAGCTGCTGCTTTTTCACTCGATACTCACCGCGCTTATTCAGCCGCCTTCGCCCGCTTTGCATATCCGTTCGAGCGGTCCACGTGCGGTCGAATCGAGACAGAAATCGCATTATCTGACCGTGACGTTTCTCGTAAGTCGCAGACAACGGCGGCACGGCCGAATGCGCGAGTCTCGACAGTGTGCGCTGCAATTTGTCTCGTGTGACACTCCGCACCTGCATCGGCGCTCTATTTTGCGCCGAGCAAGGCGCTGCGAAGCGCTTCACTGCTGAAGCTGCAAGGACAGCGGAAAACGAAGCGTGCATGTAAACGACGCAAGCCGTGCGCCGCGGACTTTAACCCTTATCCGCGAAACCGGAACACGTCTCGATGCTTTTATTTTACAAATAGGACAGAAATAATCGTCGGATCTCTATACGAGGTCTGTGTATGCGCGCTTTGTGTACGCGCGCTTTCCAGTTCTCATTCGCCGCGCTGCTCTCGCGATGGTCATTTATTTCAATTTTCATTTGTGGACGATTTCTGGATAATTATTTCCGGTGGAAGTGAATTTTTGCAAATGTCAGAGACACGCAGAGGGAACAGCTGTTTGGTTGGAATAAAATAATACTGAAATGTATTTTATAGCGGAGCTATTTGCGAGAGCAGCGCGAACGACATATCATGCGAATATAGATACGTTGGATATGGGAATTAATGGAGTCGTCAAGGATATAATATAAGCGCGCGCGCGTTAATTAAACGTTAAAACGACGAGACGCGTTGTCTTGGATTTGGCGATAATTGATATTGGCATTGACTGACTGACAGTGACATTTGGCCGCTGTAACTGACATTGACTTTGTCGCGCGCGCAATTTGTGATCAAACGAGAAAATTCGACCGCTCTCGCTCTCGCTCTGTCACGCGAATGAATTGAAAATATATATCCGATAATTCTATCCGCGCAGAACACGACCGTCGCATTTGAGCAGTTACCGTATGGCATATCAGCCGGAGATTCGTGCCGACACGTCACGTTGTCCGGGGAACTTCAATTAACACGAGATACTTTTCCTGATTATGCTTCTCCCGATCACCCAGCGCGTAACTCTCGTCAGCCACTTGGGTAACCCCACCGCTTCACCTTTCTACCACCTACTTCCACCAACCGTCCTTTGTAGCTCCTATTAATCACTTTTCACGCGCGTATATACGGGCGAATTTTTTCGATCGAAATTTTCTCTCGGCGAAAGTACCTGCGGGAAAGAGCGAAAATACATATTCTCTCGCGTCTTCCATCGTACGACACCCGTGGGGACCTCTTTGAAAAAGGAGGAACACGGAAGCGCGCTACGGCGCTGCGATATTTTACCGGATGGCTGCGTGTGTGTGTGTGTGTGCCAGTCTGTACAACGTTTTCGGACACTTTTACGCGACGTCGTCGGAGTCGCGGACCCGTAAAATCGGACCTCGCGCCCGTTTACACGTGTTAAAGCCGCTGGCTCTCACCGGCGATAATGCGCTTTAATTTCGGAAAATTTAGCGGCACCACTTTGTGTGAACCTAATGATGTGTTGTGCGTACGATGAGCATAAGCTTCGTGAACTGTTTCACGTGTATCTCTCCCCCCTCTCTCTCTCTCTCTCTCTCTCTCTCTCTCTCTCTCTCTCTCGCTGAGCCGGAGCTCGCTTTGTTCGCAGTCTAATGTGTCGAACGCGAGTTTTCTCGCGATTGTTACGAGCCTATCGACCGCGGCTTTCAACAAGCCACCCACTCGCGGACGGTCGTTTATCGTCGCCACTCTTTCAGCTCGAAATTCAATCGAATCGGCCTGTTTACGAGAAGTCGGGCTAGCAAAAGGATGGCATGACGAAGCGGCATGTTTATTCGGTCGGAAAGTACCGTGATTTGTCGAGGAGCGACGTGCGCAGTTTTTCTTCCTTTTTTTCCGGAAAGTAGAAAGCCGATGCTTTCGCGGCGCTCAGATAACGAGGAATCGCGCTTATCTTCGCTTAGCATCGAGGCTTAAAATCAGCTGTTTCCACAAGTTGTATACTAAATCGACTACTCAAACGCCTTGACGTTAAATTTTTTAACAACCGCGCGAGACTTTGCGTACCGCTAGCCGGTGGTCGACCGCGACGACATCGCGTTCGAGATTCTATATGCGTCCGTTATACGACTTTCTAGCGTCGAACGATTAGAGTATTTGTCTTGCCGCGTCCCGGATTTTTCATTGTTCCCGCAAACAATAATCACCGTTGCTTCATATTCAAATACGCGCGCGGTCGTCGGTCGCCGAAAATTGCGAGTCACGAACGACGAGAGAGCGAGAGGGAAAGAGGAAAAGGGCGAGATAGAAAGATTGCGGAAAAAAAAGATTTTTTTTTTTTTTTTTTTTTTTTTTACTTTGATGCAAATTCGTGACCTGTAATTGCCAGGAGGGGCGAGCAGAATCTGCCTCGTTCGTTCGGAACAGGATGGCTGCTGCGACAGCGGATCTCCCGGCCATGTTTGCCTCGTTTGTCTTCCGATTTGGCTGGCCGTGATCAGTGACGGAGGAAAATCTGTCGCTTTCACATGACATGGCGAGATCTGCCGAGGTGTGAAAGCACCGCGAAAATTCGAGCATAGTGACGCGCTCGCGCTTATCATCTGAAAATCGTTGCGATGAAAAAACGCAATTTATGGAATACCGTATAGAATTTCGCCGATTGCAAGCGGTTCGCTCGACTCGCTCGTTGTGTGGCCGATAAAGTCGGTTTGCCCATCACGTAACGTCACTATGCCGAATTGTCGTGATAACAGCCAATTTCTCGTGTTACTCGGGCAAACGGAGAAACGAGAAGTTTCTCGATGTTTCCCTCTTTTCGAAGCGAACGCATCCATATATCTCCGAATAAATACGATCCTCCTCCGCAAGTCGCTCCCCTTGAATCTTTCAACACATATCCACGGGCTTGAGAATACAGCCTCGACGAGAATTCCTCGAGCGAGGCTGCATTCGTCTTCCTCAAACGATAAATGCTGGGTATACCGGAGACCCGAGACCCTCAGTGCCTTGTATATGTACCGGCGGCGGCGGAGGGGGGGAGGGTTGAAGTGGTTTCAAGTTTCGAACGCTCGTGAGTCAGAACGAATGTTTCCCTCATGGAAGATTAACGATTGGCGCGCGGGGGAGGGTCCCCGGCGCTCCTCTTTTCTCGCGGCGTCTGAAAGTTCTTTCCTTTTGTGTTTCAGAATTTACGCCCAATCCTTCCGGCACTCGACACATTGGTAAGTCATGCAATTTTAACAAAGCTTTTCTCTCTTACTCTGCTCTGTCAACGCGATGTCAACGCCGCTAGCATTAGAGAATTGAATAATCCATTCGCGAGCGCGGAGTATCGCGAGGAAGTCTGAAAAATGTACAATTCATCCTTCGAAAGGCGCTCGTCCGGTCCCTAATGGACTTTGTCAAGGCTTTCTGCAAGCGCGAGTAACGTTTCCATTCTCCTCTGACATACAAGATTGAATAATGTCCTTATATACCACAAAGAACATTGCGATTCTCCGGTTCAATCGTTCATTGAGTTATTCCGAAAATTTTACATCGGGGCAAATAAACTTTGAAATGACGGTGCGAGAGAGAGAGAGAGAGAGAGAGAGAGAGAGAGAGAGAGAGAGAGAGAGAGAGAGAACATATTCTCGAATTTTACTCGGCAATTATTTCTCGTCATTGACAAACATCGGAGCGGAACCGTACCGCACGAGGAATCGCGTCGTCTGCTAACTCACAGAAAATGCCAATTTCGCGCCGTAAGGTACAGGCGAGCGCGCATCGTCCTCGGCGAATTTACAAGCGAAGGGCTTCGAGTTTGACAACGGATCGATTACCGTTCTTGGATTGCTTTTTAGCGTCGATTTGAAATTTAAATGGACCGAAGGCAACATATGACGCACGGTGACATGCACGCATGCACACAACTCGTACGCACACGTGCGCCGACGCGCGTGCGTCGCCCCGCACTCCGGCTGGATCGATCTCGACAGCGCATATAGATATCGATATAGATATTATCGCGGTCAGCACATCGACCCCCCGTATTTGAACGCGGCGGTAAATTGAAATTTACCGCCGCGAACTGAGAGGTAGCGAGAGCGTTCCGACATTCGTCGCGATTTCTCCCGATTACGAACGATCGACGATCCATAACGATACGTGCCTTATCACGGTGGAATATCCGCGCGCGGGACGATGAGGGCAATTTTAGTTCATATCCCCGACAATCCGGCTCGGTGATATCGATCCCGTTTGATTACATCGGTTGTCGACGGGCGAGAATGATTTTGCGCTCGCGCGCGCGGCAGCCGTGTCATTTGTTGATACATTTCGTAAACAAAAGTACTCGACGCGATACGTTTGAGCAGCCGATTGGCAAAATGTTAATTGCAAATTGGAAAAATATTCGGGACGAGAGAGAGAGAGAGAGAGAGAGAGAGAGAGAGAGCTTTCTTTTTTTTAGACTTTTTTAGGAAAATAAAAATAAAATTGAGCAACATTCATCGTGTGTTGCTAGAGTTTCATCGCTTCATTACGAACTCACGCCTCGAAAGTCGCTACTATTTTGTCATTTTCGTTAAGAAAGGATTAACCGCGTGTATCGGCTAGAGAAATCTTATCGTGCAGACGATAAACGCGAGACTTCAGGGTCGTTTTGTACATCCAACACGCATCTCCATCCGTAAAGAACGTATGTAGACAAGCGACGTATCTTTGCCGACGCGTAATTTAACAGCAGCAGATCTTATCTTTAATCACGTACGTGCACACAGGAGAAAATCAACTTGCGCTACGCGACTGACGTGTTCTCTCTCTTTCCCTTTTCTCTGCTTTGTTCTCTCCCCCCCCTCTCTCTCTCTCTCTCTCTCTCTCTCTCTCTCTCTCTCTCTCTTGTACTTTGTGAACGTGCATTCACGCGTGCATCGGCGGCTGCGTATGTGCAAGCTAGGACTTCCGACGCGCTTTTCCGACTACGTGACGTCCGGACGTCCGACATCTGCGACGTGCTGCCAACACGCTGCGCTGCTAGTAGTCCTGCGGACGTGGCGGCTAAACCGCGGAATTATTATTGCGAGTGAGCCCGACGTCTACACGAGCTCCGAAACCCGGCTGGGCATTATTAACCGATCTCGCCGTAGTCATGGCAGCTTCGACGTGGCTCGATACGCGGGCAAGATTAACTCCCTCACGCTGGGAAAACATACCTCGTTGAAGACGAGCGGTTATCCTATCTATACATGCATCGTGAGTGCCGTTCTGCGCGGCTCATATAGCTCACGGCTCTATCATCACGAGAATACAGCCGGTATACAATGGATGAAAATGTGTGATTATCCGCACGGAGGAAAAAAGTCGCGTTGTGACAATGAACGAACAAACGCATTGTGATTCGATGGAGTTTTTAGTTTTTCTAGACGAAATTCGTTTCTGAGAACCCTCAGAAATTCTGTCTCCCTCAATTCGACGTTAATTCGCCTGGAAATATTCTGTTCTTCGTATAACAAATTAGATATACGGATATTCGAGAGTCCAAGAAATCAGATGAAATGTACAAGTATAAAAATCGCATTTATTTGCCGTACAATCGATTGTTCGATGTTAAGTCGAGCTCTCGAACGATCAATGAAAATCGACGCAGTGGTGGCAGTGTGCCAAGAGAAAAGATTTCATTCACGGTTCTGCAAGATCAAATTTCCATTTTATTTAGAGATACCAATTGAGATCAGATTAGCTCTTGACAAAAATGCTGTTTCTTTAGCTTTTAACTGGTAAATGATAGGTAAACGATAGGAAACAGAGAGAGTTATTTGTAAATTAAACTTTAGGAGAAGGGAGATATGCCGGATAACAAAGTATTATCCTGCTTCGATTTGAACCAGTTTAATTGGAAATAATCGCATGAGCGCCCTATCGATGCGTAAAATAATCCAATATTTCGTGACATCGCAATAAAAATATATCGTATGTGCAAAAGATGAATCGCCTATACTCGTCAGGCTATTTGATTTCTAGCCAGGTAGTTCCGTGCGGTATAATTCCGCGGTTTGCATCGAGCCAGATGAACGAAGTTATCGATATAGGACGGGGGTTGAGGTGGGAATGTCCCGATATTTGTGGAAAGCTGGCAAAGTTTCCCTCGCAGTGGTAATATAGCGTCTGCGAAAATCGATATTCGATAATCACGAAATTCCGGAGAGGCTTGCGGTCGCCGTCGTCTTTTCTCTTGTGGATCTCGCCGCAAGATTAAAACGCCCGAAAAAGAATAAACTCGTCGATAAATTAAACAACACGGAGCGATTTGATGTAGAAAGCGCGCGATTTAATTTGTATACAAGTTGCAGAAACGGACGAGTATGTACGTATATTATAGAAAGATGCACGTTTCATCGTGCATCTTGGTGAATTCTCTTCCTATCGTAACCTGATTTGTTGCTCGACTTCGAGACCGCGTCTCGTCGTTATAGTCCCGTCTACTTCATGTTAAAAATTTTCAGATCGAATTTCCTCGTTGCTCTTTATTCCCGGCTCCGTTAGCAACATGGTGTTGATAAAAAGGGGGAAAGTTGTACCGTTCGCAAAGTTCGATTCCGCGGTCTCATCCTCTCGCATTTCCACCGTGAAATTCACTGCCATTAACGTTCTGTTAAAAATGTTTTCGCCAGCAGCAGCCATTGGAACATGAAACGTAAACTCGCGCGATTTTACTCGATGAAAATTATAGAAATAAATATCCTCGCAGTTTTAATCCATTTTCATAGCTGCGCAGTGAATTTAACGGGAACTAATGCACAAAAAACCGATGAGCAGCATTTTCATAGCATACTTTTCCCTGCGGTATTTTTCTGATGGTACAGGATTTATCGCATATTCCATTAATTTCGCAGAGAACAAGCTGTGACACGTATGTTACGTAATTCAAACGTAACAGGTTGACGTTAATTGTGACGGACGAGGAGAGTACAGAGATCTCTTTAACGATTATATATTTCAACTTGATTACACTGCTTTCCGCGCCGGTGTTTACGTCGCTCGCTTTTTTAAATATCGCCGGATTAATTAAAAAGGAAAAAGCGTTATTTTCCATCAACTAGTGTCAGGTAAGTTTACGTACGCGCGCCTCTCGAGATCTCGACTTTACTTTTAACACCCGCGGCGGCGTTGTTTTATCACCACTGCAGCGCGGTTAACGATACCGTGTGTCCGCATGTATTTTCTCTCTACGGCGCGACTTTCAAGCTATCGATGAACGAGCCCCACTATATTTGCACACTCTGGGCTTATTTACGCTAGAAATTTGTGCGCGAGAATGTTTCTGCTCGGATTGCGGTTTCCCCGCGTTCGCGCAAACACGCACATAAACCTCGGGCCGCGTTTTCGTATACACATCGGTGTAATAAGGTCGTTGCTACGAGAGCGCTTTATCGTTTCTGCGCGCGAGCCACGTTATTTCTGTTTCGTCGCAAACGGAACGGACGCACGCGCTCGGCTACGGCCTGTCTCACTTTGTTTCCTCACACTCGAACGGAGCGCAAGGAGCCGCGCATATGCATTACATCGACGATTATTGTGGAAAAGAGGAAGAGGGCAAGAGTCTCTCGTGGAGTATTTGTGTTTAATTAAAATTCATGGATTAACGAGAAGCGACCGGTATCAAGTGTGTGTGTGTGTGTGTGTATATCTGTGTGATTTAGGCGTTTTTTAGGCCGAAATTGAATGAAAACGAAAAGCTTCAGTTTTCGAAGGATTAATATTTACTTTTAATAGAGCGGAGCTTTTACTCAGTGGAAGCGAGTAATTTACTTTCCTATAATGTTCCGATAATGTGCGCGAGACAATACACTTCCGTTAAAGAAGGTAAGACATACTGTGTAGCCGATACAACTCAATAGCGCTATCAGCTGCAGATGACGTGACGGACTTCTCTTCCTTTTCTCACCTCCTCCCTCACCGCCCCTCTTTCTCTCTTCGACTCTTTTTACTCTAACGGCAATCCTCTAACGTGGGACATACGCCAGACTGCGCGCGATATTTTCAGGAAAAACCGGATAATCCTCTTGTCCGTTAATAAATGTAATTTCCCATTGTACAAAAGGGCTTTATCACACAACGGAAGAGCGAGCGCGAGTTTGTTTCGTTTCGCGGCCGCGAAGTGTATACGAGGCGATTTGCACACGGAAGCGATTTATTTCGATGCGCAGGCCGTTTGTCAAGCGCAGGCAACCCCGGGATGACA